ACCACGGTGAACAGTGACACACCACCACCAGACCACGGTGAACAGTGACACACCACCACCAGACCACGGTGGACAGTGACACACCACCACCAGACCACGGTGAACAGTGACACACCACCACCAGACCACGGTGGACAGTGACACACCACCACCAGACCACGGTGGACAGTGACACACCACCACCACCACCAGACCACGGTGAACAGTGACACACCACCACCAGACCACGGTGGACAGTGACACACCACCACCAGACCACGGTGAACAGTGACACACCACCACCAGACCACGGTGGACAGTGACACACCACCACCAGACCACGGTGAACAGTGACACACCACCACCACCACCAGACCACGGTGAACAGTGACACACCACCACCACCACCAGACCACGGTGAACAGTGACACACCACCACCACCACCAGACCACCGTGAACAGTGACACACCACCACCAGACCACGGTGAACAGTGACACACCACCACCAGACCACGGTGAACAGTGACACACCACCACCAGACCACGGTGAACAGTGACACACCACCACCAGACCACCGTGAACAGTGACACACCACCACCAGACCAAGGTGAACAGTGACACACCACCACCACCACCAGACCACCGTGAACAGTGACACACCACCACCAGACCACGGTGAACAGTGACACACCACCACCACCACCAGACCACGGTGAACAGTGACACACCACCACCACCACCAGACCACGGTGAACAGTGACACACCACCACCACCACCAGACCACGGTGAACAGTGACACACCACCACCACCACCAGACCACGGTGAACAGTGACACACCACCACCACCACCAGACCACGGTGAACAGTGACACACCACCACCACCACCAGACCACGGTGAACAGTGACACACCACCACCACCAGACCACGGTGAACAGTGACCACCACCACCACCACCAACACGGTGAACAGTGACACCACCACCACCAGACCACGGTGAACAGTGACACACCACCACCAGACCACGGTGAACAGTGACACACCACCACCAGACCACGGTGAACAGTGACACACCACCACCAGACCACGGTGAACAGTGACACACCACCACCAGACCACGGTGAACAGTGACACACCACCACCAGACCACGGTGAACAGTGACACACCACCACCAGACCACGGTGAACAGTGACACACCACCACCAGACCACGGTGACAGTGACACACCACCACCAGACCACGGTGGACAGTGACACACCACCACCACCACCAGACCACGGTGAACAGTGACACACCACCACCAGACCACGGTGGACAGTGACACACCACCACCAGACCACGGTGAACAGTGACACACCACCACCAGACCACGGTGGACAGTGACACACCACCACCAGACCACGGTGGACAGTGACACACCACCACCACCACCAGACCACGGTGAACAGTGACACACCACCACCAGACCACGGTGGACAGTGACACACCACCACCAGACCACGGTGAACAGTGACACACCACCACCAGACCACGGTGGACAGTGACACACCACCACCAGACCACGGTGAACAGTGACACACCACCACCACCACCAGACCACGGTGAACAGTGACACACCACCACCACCACCAGACCACGGTGAACAGTGACACACCACCACCACCACCAGACCACCGTGAACAGTGACACACCACCACCAGACCACGGTGAACAGTGACACACCACCACCAGACCACGGTGAACAGTGACACACCACCACCAGACCACGGTGAACAGTGACACACCACCACCAGACCACCGTGAACAGTGACACACCACCACCAGACCACGGTGAACAGTGACTCACCACCACCACCACCAGACCACCGTGAACAGTGACACACCACCACCAGACCACGGTGAACAGTGACACACCACCACCACCACCAGACCACGGTGAACAGTGACACACCACCACCACCACCAGACCACGGTGAACAGTGACACACCACCACCACTACCAGACCACGGTGAACAGTGACACACCACCACCACCACCAGACCACGGTGAACAGTGACACACCACCACCACCACCAGACCACGGTGAACAGTGACACACCACCACCACCACCAGACCACCGTGAACAGTGACACACCACCACCAGACCACGGTGAACAGTGACTCACCACCACCACCACCAGACCACCGTGAACAGTGACACACCACCACCAGACCACGGTGAACAGTGACTCACCACCACCACCACCAGACCACCGTGAACAGTGACACACCACCACCAGACCACGGTGAACAGTGACACACCACCACCACCACCAGACCACGGTGAACAGTGACACACCACCACCACCACCAGACCACGGTGAACAGTGACACACCACCACCACCACCAGACCACGGTGAACAGTGACACACCACCACCACCACCAGACCACCGTGAACAGTGACACACCACCACCAGACCACGGTGAACAGTGACTCACCACCACCACCACCAGACCACGGTGAACAGTGACACACCACCACCACCAGACCACGGTGAACAGTGACACACCACCACCACCACCAGACCACGGTGAACAGTGACACACCACCACCACCAGACCACGGTGAACAGTGACTCACCACCACCACCACCAGACCACGGTGAACAGTGACACACCACCACCAGACCACGGTGAACAGTTACTCACCACCACCACCACCAGACCACGGTGAACAGTGACACACCACCACCACCAGACCACGGTGAACAGTGACACACCACCACCACCACCAGACCACGGTGAACAGTGACACACCACCACCACCACCAGACCACCGTGAACAGTGACACACCACCACCAGACCACGGTGAACAGTGACTCACCACCACCACCACCAGACCACCGTGAACAGTGACACACCACCACCAGACCACGGTGAACAGTGACACACCACCACCACCACCAGACCACCGTGAACAGTGACACACCACCACCAGACCACGGTGAACAGTGACACACCACCACCACCACCAGACCACGGTGAACAGTGACACACCACCACCACCACCACCAGACCACGGTGAACAGTGACACACCACCACCACCACCACCAGACCACGGTGAACAGTGACACACCACCACCACCACCAGACCACGGTGAACAGTGACACACCACCACCACCAGACCACGGTGAACAGTGACACACCACCACCAGACCACGGTGAACAGTGACACACCACCACCACCACCACCACCACCAGACCACGGTGAACAGTGACACACCACCACCACCACCAGACCACCGTGAACAGTGACACACCACCACCAGACCACGGTGAACAGTGACACACCACCACCAGACCACGGTGAACAGTGACACACCACCACCAGACCACGGTGAACAGTGACACACCACCACCACCACCAGACCACGGTGAACAGTGACACACCACCACCACCACCACCAGACCACGGTGAACAGTGACTCACCACCACCACCACCAGACCACCGTGAACAGTGACACACCACCACCAGACCACGGTGAACAGTGACACACCACCACCAGACCACGGTGAACAGTGACACACCACCACCACCACCACCAGACCACGGTGAACAGTGACACACCACCACCACCACCAGACCACGGTGAACAGTGACACACCACCACCACCACCAGACCACGGTGAACAGTGACACACCACCACCACCACCACACCACGGAGAACAGCGACACACCACCACCACCACCACCAGACCACGGTGAACAGTGACACACCACCACCACCACCAGACCACGGTGAACAGTGACACACCACCACCACCACCACCAGACCACGGTGAACAGTGACACACCACCACCACCACCACCAGACCACGGTGAACAGTGACACACCACCACCACCACCAGACCACGGTGAACAGTGACACACGACCACCACCACCACCAGACCACGGTGAACAGTGACACACCACCACCACCACCAGACCACGGTGAACAGTGACACACCACCACCACCACCAGACCACGGTGAACAGTGACACACCACCACCAGACCACGGTGAACAGTGACACACGACCACCACCACCACCAGACCACGGTGAACAGTGACACACCACCACCACCACCACCAGACCACGGTGAACAGTGACACACCACCACCACCACCAGACCACGGTGAACAGTGACACACCACCACCACCACCAGACCACGGTGAACAGTGACACACGACCACCACCACCACCAGACCACGGTGAACAGTGACACACCACCACCACCACCAGACCACGGTGAACAGTGACACACCACCACCACCACCACCAGACCACGGTGAACAGTGACACACCACCACCACCACCAGACCACGGTGAACAGTGACACACCACCACCAGACCACGGTGAACAGTGACACACGACCACCACCACCACCAGACCACGGTGAACAGTGACACACCACCACCACCACCACCAGACCACGGTGAACAGTGACACACCACCACCACCACCACCAGACCACGGTGAACAGTGACACACCACCACCACCACCACCAGACCACGGTGAACAGTGACACACCACCACCACCACCAGACCACGGTGAACAGTGACACACCACCACCAGACCACGGTGAACAGTGACACACGACCACCACCACCACCAGACCACGGTGAACAGTGACACACCACCACCACCACCACCAGACCACGGTGAACAGTGACACACCACCACCACCACCAGACCACGGTGAACAGTGACACACCACCACCACCACCAGACCACGGTGAACAGTGACACACGACCACCACCACCACCAGACCACGGTGAACAGTGACACACCACCAATAACATAATATTTAACATTCTGCACTACCGAAAAAACACTTACCATTTTATTGTTTTCTAAGATAATTTTCTCGCCAAGAAAACCGCCATAATGACCAAGTTGTGTGTAAGTTAACGATGACCGGGTAGTTAAGACAGGGCCATTAAGGTGTGTGTAGTGTGGTAGTGTTAGTGAGGTCACCTACCCTATGTGCCTCTTCCTCAGTTCTAGGGTTGTCTCCTTGCTGATGATCTGCCGGGTGGCCATGGTGGCGGCGCGTGTCCTCTCCCCACGGCAGCCAGGAGCCTACTGACTCCCCGTGTACCGTGACACCTGCCAGCTGGCACCGTACACGACACCCCCCCCTCCCCACCACCCCCCACCCCCGCCCCGTCTTAGGGAACCTTTCCTACAATGACCACCCCCTCCCCCCTCCCCCCCCCTGCGGTACTGAACCTTTCCTACAACGCCCCCTCCCCTCCTCCTCACGTGTACTCACTTGGTTGTGCTCTGGCTCTTTGGTCCCACCTCTCAATCGTCAATCAACTGGTGTACAGGTTCCTGAGCCTACTGGGCTCTATCATATCTACACTTGAAACTGTGTATGGAGTCAGCCTCCGCCACATCACTGCCTAATGCATTCCATTTGTCAACTACTCTGACACTAAAAAAGTTCTTTCTAACGTCCCTGTGGCTCATGTGGGTACTCAGCTTCCACCTGTGTCCCCTTGTTCGCGTCCCTCCAGTGTTAAACAGTTTATCCTTGTTTACCCTGTCGATTCCCCTGAGGATTTTGTAGGTTGTGATCATGTCTCTCATTACTCTTCTGTCTTCCAGTGTCGTAAGATGCATTTCCCGCAGCCTTTCCTCATAACTCATGCCTCTTAGTTCTGGGACTAGTCTAGTAGCATACCTTTGGACTTTTTCCAGCTTCGTCTTGAGCTTGACAAGGTACGGGCTCCATGCTGGGGCCGCATACTCCAGGATTGGTCTTACATATGTGGTGTACAAGATTCTGAATGATTCCTTACACAGGTTCCTGAACACTGTTCTGATGGCCATAACAGTGTGTTAACCGATCTCTGATTGGTTGGATAAACTGTTACTGGTATAAATCCTGAAATATATGATAATTTTGAAGATAAATCTACCACCATAAAGACACATCTATAATATAGGAGAGAAGGTGTGCGTGTCTGGCTGAGGTTGTAGACCAGAGGCTCGCGGCTAGCCTCACACACATGGGCAGGGAGACTGGTCTGGGGTAAGGGAGGGACATAGGCTGATCAGGGTAGGCCTATGCTAAATGCTTTAAGAAATATTAGTGTTTATAGTCACCCTCAGGCGGGTTGTATGGGGTCAAGAGTGACATACACGGCGAGTGTGTCAGAGTGTTTAGTGGCAGTAATGATGGATTTACTGAGAGATCCATACACATCTTTTAGGGATTTTTAATGACTTTTCTGGGAGAAGAGGCCCCACCACCACCCTGCCAGGGGCCCCACCACCACCCTGCCAGGGCCCTACCGCCACCACCCTGCCAGGGGGCCCACCACCACCACCACCACCACCCTGCCAGGGGGCCCACCACCACCACCACCACCACCCTGCCAGGGGGCCCACCACCACCACCACCACCCTGCCAGGGGGCCCACCACCACCCTGCCAGGGGCCCACCACCACCCTGCCAGGGGCCCACCACCACCCTGCCAGGGGGCCCACCACCACCCTGCCAGGGGCCAGCTGCCCACCACCACCCTGCCAGGGGCCCACCACCACCCTGCCAGGGGGCCCACCACCACCGTGCCAGGGGCCCACCACCACCCTGCCAGGGGCCCACTACCACCCTGTCAGGGGGCCCACCACCACCAGCTGACACGCGTCAATAAAGCACCATGAAGCACCAGGGCGCCGCGCACACACTTGGAGAAACTGGACCTTGCTGAACCGCCAAGGACAGACAAGTCAATAACAACACCTGTTATTACGGCCATTATTGCATCCCCCTCCCCCCCCCCCCTAGCACACCTGCTACACACCTGCCAACAACAGCTTATCTGAACACGTCAATACGAGAGCACCGATCACCAGGTGGGGCCACGGGGACAGGTGGACAGGTGGAGCAGACTTAAGGGCTAATCACCTGGGACATAATACCCGGACACAAGCCTTTTTGAAGACTGAGGTGGACAAGGTAGACAAGTCTTGCCAGTGGGACGAGCTGGGTCCAGTCTGGCCACCGGCAGCGTAGGGGACGGTGCTGCTGAGTGTCCTCTGACATGTGTTCCCGCCAAACACACACCGAAACTACGACGTTGGTACAACGTTCAAACAAGTTTTAACACCTCCTAACCAGTTATAACAACCAATATAGCTAGTTGTAACAACGTTCTAATACGTCATAAACACGTTAAGCCAAGATGTAACAACTTTATTACAAGTTGTAACAAGCGGAAAAAAGAGACACTTTTGGTTTGTGTTTCCAGGGGTTGGCCTTCCATGGTGGTGGTGTCATTGGTCACCCAGGTGTTGGTGACCTGCGAGGGGGGGGTGTTGGTGACCTGCGAGGGGGGGGGTGTTGGTGACCTGCGAGGGGGGGGTGTTGGTGACCTGCGAGGGGGGGGGGGTGTTGGTGACCTGCGAGGGGGGGGGTGTTGGTGACCTGCGAGGGGGGGGGTGTTGGTGACCTGCGAGGGGGGGGTGTTGGTGACCTGCGAGGGGGGGGTGTTGGTGACCTGCGAGGGGGGGGTGTTGGTGACCTGCGAGGGGGGGGTGTTGGTGACCTGCGAGGGGGGGGTGTTGGTGACCTGCGAGGGGGGGGTGTTGGTGACCTGCGAGGGGGGGGTGTTGGTGACCTGCGAGGGGGGGGGTGTTGGTGACCTGCGAGGGGGGGGTGTTGGTGACCTGCGAGGGGGGGGGTGTTGGTGACCTGCGAGGGGGGGGTGTTGGTGACCTGCGAGGGGGGGGGTGTTGGTGACCTGCGAGGGGGGGGGTGTTGGTGACCTGCGAGGGGGGGGGGTGTTGGTGACCTGCGAGGGGGGGGGGTGTTGGTGACCTGCGAGGGGGGGGTGTTGGTGACCTGCGAGGGGGGGTGTTGGTGACCTGCGAGGGGGGGGGTGTTGGTGACCTGCGAGGGGGGGGTGTTGGTGACCTGCGAGGGGGGGGGGTGTTGGTGACCTGCGAGGGGGGGGGTGTTGGTGACCTGCGAGGGGGGGGGTGTTGGTGACCTGCGAGGGGGGGGTGTTGGTGACCTGCGAGGGGGGGGTGTTGGAGACCTGCGAGGGGGGGGTGTTGGTGACCTGCGAGGGGGGGGGTGTTGGTGACCTGCGAGGGGGGGGTGTTGGTGACCTGCGAGGGGGGGGGGTGTTGGTGACCTGCGAGGGGGGAGGTGTTGGTGACCTGCGAGGGGGGGTGTTGGTGACCTGCGAGGGGGGGTGTTGGTGACCTGCGAGGGGGGGGGGTGTTGGTGACCTGCGAGGGGGGGGGGGTGTTGGTGACCTGCGAGGGGGGGGTGTTGGTGACCTGCGAGGGGGGGGTGTTGGTGACCTGCGAGGGGGGGGGTGTTGGTGACCTGCGAGGGGGGGGGGGGTGTTGGTGACCTGCGAGGGGGGGGTGTTGGTGACCTGCGAGGGGGGGGTGTTGGTGACCTGCGAGGGGGGGGGTGTTGGTGACCTGCGAGGGGGGGGTGTTGGTGACCTGCGAGGGGGGGGGGGGTGTTGGTGACCTGCGAGGGGGGGGTGTTGGTGACCTGCGAGGGGGGGGTGTTGGTGACCTGCGAGGGGGGGGTGTTGGTGACCTGCGAGGGGGGGGGGGGTGTTGGTGACCTGCGAGGGGGGGGTGTTGGTGACCTGCGAGGGGGGGGGGGTGTTGGTGACCTGCGAGGGGGGGGGGGGGTGACCTGCGAGGGGGGGGTGTTGGTGACCTGCGAGGGGGGGGTGTTGGTGACCTGCGAGGGGGGGGTGTTGGTGACCTGCGAGGGGGGGGTGTTGGTGACCTGCGAGGGGGGGGTGTTGGTGACCTGCGAGGGGGGGGGGTGTTGGTGACCTGCGAGGGGGGGGGTGTTGGTGACCTGCGAGGGGGGGGGGGGGTGTTGGTGACCTGCGAGGGGGGGGTGTGTTGGTGACCTGCGAGGGGGGGGGTGTTGGTGACCTGCGAGGGGGGGGTGTTGGTGACCTGCGAGGGGGGGGGGTGTTGGTGACCTGCGAGGGGGGGGTGTTGGTGACCTGCGAGGGGGGGGTGTTGGTGACCTGCGAGGGGGGGGGGTGTTGGTGACCTGCGAGGGGGGGGGGGGTGTTGGTGACCTGCGAGGGGGGGGGGTGTTGGTGACCTGCGAGTGGGGGGGTGTTGGTGACCTGTGAGGGGGGGGTGTTGGTGACCTGCGAGGGGGGGGGGTGTTGGTGACCTGCGAGGGGGGTGGGTGTTGGTGACCTGCGAGGGGGGGGGGGTGTTGGTGACCTGCGAGGGGGGGGGGTGTTGGTGACCTGCGAGGGGGGGGGTGTTGGTGACCTGCGAGGGGGGGGGTGTTGGTGACCTGCGAGGGGGGGGTGTTGGTGACCTGCGAGGGGGGGGGGGTGTTGGTGACCTGCGAGGGGGGGGGTGTTGGTGACCTGCAAGGGGGGGGGTGTTGGTGACCTGCGAGGGGGGGGGGTGTTGGTGACCTGCGAGGGGGGGGTGTTGGTGACCTGCGAGGGGGGGGGTGTTGGTGACCTGCGAGGGGGGGGGGGGTGTTGGTGACCTGCGAGGGGGGGGTGTTGGTGACCTGCGAGGGGGGGGGGGGTGTTGGTGACCTGCGAGGGGGGGGGGGTGTTGGTGACCTGCGAGGGGGGGGGTGTTGGTGACCTGCGAGGGGGGGGGGGGTGTTGGTGACCTGCGAGGGGGGGTGTTGGTGACCTGCGAGGGGGGGGTGTTGGTGACCTGCGAGGGGGGGGGTGTTGGTGACCTGCGAGGGGGGGGGGTGTTGGTGACCTGCGAGGGGGGGGTGTTGGTGACCTGCGAGGGGGGGGGGTGTTGGTGACCTGCGAGGGGGGGGGTGTTGGTGACCTGCAAGGGGGGGGGGTGTTGGTGACCTGCGAGGGGGGGGGTGTTGGTGACCTGCGAGGGGGGGGGGGGTGTTGGTGACCTGCGAGGGGGGGGGTGTTGGTGACCTGCGAGGGGGGGGGGTGTTGGTGACCTGCGAAGGGGGGGCGGTGCTCTCAGCCCTCCCCTCCCCTCGCGCCTATTAGGCCTAACCCACCCGTGTATCAGGTACACAACAATAGCTCTTGTGCCAAACAACCCCAGAGCCGTGATTGCCTTGTTCTGTGATAGGCGACGCTGGTGCCAATGAA